AAGGTCATTAAAAAGTTTGACCTAAACAATATTAATTTTATAGATTCTCAGCTTAAAGTGATTGCAGTTTATTGAAAGGTGGCATTCATCAAGGTAAATACACTGTTTTCTGATGCCAAGAAATATGTGTTGAATTATTTGTTGAAATTTTAAATATTTTAATACTAAAAATATCTATATCAGCTAACCAGGATAAAACAGTAATTTGTTTTGTGTTAAACTAAAGAAATAAAATATATAAATTTTCAGTCTCTCTCATCTTCAAGAGCTGATTTGTTTGTTCTCCAGCACTTTGAAAGGTGTGTTAGTATTTGGACAACAGATGAGCGTGAGGAGGAGCATCAATATTGTAGAGCTCTCAAATCTAATAATATTATCCTGGTTCTTATTTTGAATTTATTTTCAAGAGTCTTGCTGCATGAAAAGAGTTCTAATCAACAGCACCAGCTACATAGACATTAAAAATACCTGTGTGCTATGTTTAGAGAGTTGCATTAAAAGCTAGAAAAGAGAGTTCTGAGTGTTTAGTGAGTTGAAAGAGGAAGTTAAGAAACTGTCGGTGGGGGGAAAAGTGAAGAAGTTTAGAGGGGAGGGGGCAGGCTACTTTGGGCTGTCAAACAGTGTCAGAGTCACTGGTGTGTCAAATGTGAAATATTTCTTGCAGCAGTGTTTCAGTCCTCACATATCTTAATGTGTGTATGTTTGTGATGTGTGGTTTGAGCTGAGGGCACCAGACAAACAGGAGGGTAATTTGGTTTGGCACTAATGCAGGATCTAAGTCGCACTCACACACACTCCCATCAGTACACACTTATTCCTGTGCAGTCGGCATGAATGCTCACAGAAGTTTTGTGACCTCCTGCTGAACATTGCAGGTTTTATTTGCACATAACTTGACAGTGAGATCTTTTCACAGTGACAGTGCAAATCAAATAGAATCCAACCAATTGTAATCAATTTCCTAAAGTGAATTTTAACCATTTTTTATTAGGTTTTAACAACATTAAACAGTTAGAAAACAATCAAAGTAAGACTGTTTTATTCTAGGATTGTCTGGAGTCCTATGTTTATCCTTGACCGGTGTGGTCAAGAACAGGTCAATGAGGTGTTTTCCTTGGTCTTCATGATGCTGTTGGACAGTGGTGTACACAGTTCTGCTCATCCGCTGATCCACTAATGGAGGAACTAATATTTTGCTGAGCAGTTTAGAATTTGCATTAATTTCTTCTCTTTTGTTTTCGGTAAATACTTTGTTGCTAAAATTCAGTAAGTTTGTGTCAACATCTTCTCACTGACTAATACATGGAAAAGTGTCCTGCTTGATGTTGCATGCACTGGTGTCTGCATGTATGTTTCTCCCATTTAATTTTCTGCCCTCTGATGAGCAGAGGATAAGCTGTGTGAAGCTGAGCTCGATGCCTATGGCCATTTGGGGCAGCTTGTGAGCTGCTGGTGAGTGTCTGCTGGTGTTTTGTGGAGTACTGGTGGGCGGCAGGTACCTGAGGTTATGGTGCGCTGGTTCCCCATCCTGTAGGGTGAGTTTTGTGACCCTTTAGTGTTTGAAAGGGATTAGTATGCTTGGTGTTCAGACTTTTGTCTGCATTAGTTAGTGGCTGAGCCACATGAACTTTGACCCATGGGTCCAGGCGCCCTTTTTGTTTATGGGAGTTGGGGGTTTTAGTAATTTCACTCCCAATATTCAAATTATTGATAATTTTCCCATTTTTCCATTCAGATTATTTCTTCCGTTACAGGTTATCTTATTTTTCTGAATAAATCGTTCTTTATTTTGATCCTTCTGAGTTATATTCCTTCATTGCCTAGTTTCTTTTATTTGCTGCGTCCCCCAGCTCCTAGACCTCCAAGGGGAACGTAACACTTTAAGAAAATATGCTACAGACCAGGCTTCAGACGTCACTGATCAGGTGATTTCTACCAAATGAACCAAACTCCAATACAGTTTTTCTAAAACAGTGGATTTGTTTTATGAGTTAAAGCTTTAGCTTCAAACTGCCCATTACTAGGATTTATACGGATATTAAATTAAACAAATAAGTGGCCCCTATTTAATAATCAGATGACTTTTGTAGACAATCAGTAGCTTTCCATTTGGTTATATGTGCCAGAATTACTGATGTGCCAATTGGCATCACGACAGTTCAGTGGTAAGCCCTGATGCCTCACAACAAGAGAGTCCTGGTTTCAGTTCTGGGAGGATCCCTGGTTCCAACCAGGGTATTTCTGTGTGGAGTTTGCATGTTCTCCTCATGCTTGGACAGGTTTTCTCCAAGTACTTCAGTTTCCTTCTAAGGACCAAAAGCACATACAAAACGCTGTCTTCAGGTTCAGGCCTTGATCTGTGATCTCATTGGGTCTTGCCTGGCTAAATAAAGGTCAATAAGTAAATATTGATGCTGGTATCTGTATCAGGCCTGAAACCAGCATTTTTCACTAGTACTCATACAAAATGTCCCAATACTGGGGATCATTATCGGTACTGGTATCAGTACTCCATTGAATGTGTTATAGTTTACATTTCAAATGTAAAGATTTTTAATTCTGTATGTAAGAAATGCATACAAGTTGAAAGAGAATCTTGCTTTTTATATTTATTTAAACAGTTTGCAACAATATATATTTGTATGCTGTATTGATTTGATACAGTCAGAGGGACTGTAAGCCCTTAAATGAGGTTCTCCTTGTTCTAAAAACATAAAAATTGTGTTTTAAAAGTCTTTGTGTAATGTTTAAGTTCTAGCTCAGTAAGTACTTGATATTGGCAAGTACTCAAACTTAAGTACTTGTACTTGGTTTAAGAATAACTGGTATTGGGACACCCCTAATCTGAATAAAAAGGTGAATACTAATGCACACAACACTTTTTAGAGTATAATTTGCACATTACTCAGGGGTGAGCAATCCTGATCCTGGAGGGCTGCTATCCTGTTCTACTTGTTTTCCTGCTCCAACACAACTGACTCACTGATTGAATTACCTTTTGAAGTTCTSCAGAAACCTATTCATTCAAATAAGGTATTTTGGAGCAGAGAAACCTTCAGGATAACGACCCTCAAGACCCAGCTATAATATTATTTCACAATTATACACTACTTATTGTGATTTATCACATAAAAAAACAAGTAAAATACTTTGAAGTTTGTGGTTGTAAAGTGACAAAATGTGTAAAAGTTCAAACAATAGTATTTTTATGGCACTCAGTTTATATACCAAACTGTTGCCATGTGTTTTGCTTCCAGCACCATTCAATGTACTCTGTTTATTTTATTTTGCTGTGTTTTTTTTTTTAACATCAGACTAACCTCCACTTTGTCCTGATGCATCTCAGCAATCCAGGTAAAAAATCAAAAGGAAAAAAAAATGTATAGGTCCTCTGGACAGGTTCTTCTTTAATGAAATGTTTCGTCTCTCTTCCAAGAGACTTCTTCAGTCTGAGAGTTTCAGGCAAAATTCAGGCTTTTAAGCACTGCCTCAAAACACATTACGGCAAAGGCTGGTTCACCC